GGATGAATTCCTCGTGCGTGTTTTCTAGGGAGGCGCGACTCACCGCACAACTTTCGACGTGGCTTGTCCCGCGAGCACTGTTTTCCAAGGCGGCTCAGGCCGAGGGTTGCGCGGCTTTCACCCCCATGCGCGGCCCGTGACGTCGCAACCGAACGTGATGTCCATGCGGTGTCCTAGGCAACCATGCTTTCGTATATATCCACACGACCACCCTACACTACCTCCCCTCCTCCGCCCTCCTCGCGATGTCTGTATCCTCTCCTCCTCTTCTTCGTTTCCGTCAGTTTGACGTAGACGTTTCAATTTCCTCCCCTCTTATCTTATCATTTTCGAATTTTTCCCTTTTCCTCTGACACTCGTCATTTCGGATTTTCAATCTTCTTGCAGATCTGTTTTTCTTTTTTTTAATCTTTTAATTCTTTTCTTTATCTACGAGTTTTTTGAATTTTTTTATCAATTGTTCAATCTTTCAGTTTTGACTTTTTTTTATTGTATCTTCATTTTTTTCTTTTCTTTTTCCGTGAATTTAATTTTTACTCTTCGATTTCGTCATTATGTAGGTTTGGTTTGATAGATTATTTTCTTTTTTGTTTCATTCCGCTCACTTTTACTGCTTCTCTCTTTCGGTATATTTTCCGCTTGGTTTTTTTTCTTCCTCTTCTTTTTAAGCTATTTTCCCGAGGTTAGACACGCGATCTAGCGTGGCCATGCGTCTGCGTCACTACTGCAACATTCGAACACACGCGCGCGCCAGATAGAGAAATCGATCCGGTTTACCTGGCTTCGGAGGCCTTCGCACCCCTCGTGATTACGTCCCCTTTATCGCGGAGGAGTCGCAGTCCTATACTGATCCCTTTGTTGCCCTCCATCCACACCAAACATTCGAGGAATTTTTATGAGGTAAAATACGCTTACGCTTGTCGTCGCTGTATCGTTTAATTGGAAAATATGAGCTCATCATATTCTGTTTGAACAGAATTCTTCAAAGAGAACGGAAATGTATTGTATTTGAAATTTTTCCAATTGCTTAAACGTTTAAGCATTATTTAAGAATACACGCCTTTGTAAATTTTATTATTGTACTTGGATTTTATTGAATTCTATTTCTAAAATTTCATCGTTATTTTTGTAAGCAAAATTTATAATTCATTCCACGCTGTAATCTAAAAAAAATTCCGATATTCGAGAATATTATATTTAAAAATACGTGTAAATTTCAACACAATTTTATGAAAATTCTATTTCCAGTTATTAAAATTTGATCGTCATTTCCTTTTAATCTAAAAAATTTTCAATCTCCCATCTGAATTCTATTTCCAAGTATTTCCCCCAATTTCCTTTTCATTATACAAAATATTCCAATCTCACAAATTCGTTTTCTCAATTACTCAAAATTTGAATCTTATTTCGTTACAATTTAAAAACTTATCTGCGAAATCATATAAACATAAGATTCTAAAATAAATATTTAAATTCCATTTTAATCGTCAAAATTCCATTCTAAAAACTGCAACTCTTCGTTTCTTTACGATCCTTTCAATCCCCAAAATTCTAAGATAAATATTCAAATTAAATTTTCAGTTGCTCAAAATTTCATCACAAAATTCTCAAACTTCCTAAATAATTACTTATAAAAATACACATCGAAAAATCGTGAATATTTCCATGATTCCATTTTAAAAACTTCATTTCTTTACGATCTTTTCGAGTCCTAAAATTCTAAGATAAATGTTCAAATTAAATATTCAATTGCTCAAAAATTCATCACAAAATTCTCAAACTTCCCAGATGATCATTTATAAAAATATATATCAACGTATATTTTACAATTTTAAAAACTCCAACTCTTCGTTTCTTTACTATCCTTGGAATCTCCAAAATTCTAAGATAAATATTCAAATTAAATTTTCAATTATTAAAAATTTCATCACAAAATTCTCAAACTTCCAAGATGATCATTTATAAAAATACACATCGAAAAATCGTGAATATTTCCATGATTCCATTTTAAAAATTTCATTTCTTTACGATCTTTTCGAGTTCTAAAATTTTAAGATAAATGTTCAAATTAAATATTCAATTGCTCAAAATTTCATCACAAAATTCTCAAACTTCCTAGATGATCATTTATAAAAATACACATCGAAAAATCGTGAATATTTCCATGATTCCATTTTAAAAATTTCATTTCTTTACGATCTTTTCGAGTCCTAAAATTCTAAAATAAATATTCAAATTAAATATTCAATTGCTCAAAAATTCATCACAAAATTCTCAAACTTCCCAGATGATCATTTATAAAAATATACAGAACGAAGAAACGTATATTTCTACAATTTTAAAAACTCCAACTCTTCGTTTCTTTACGATCCTTTCGAGTTCTAAGATAAATGTTCAAATTAAATTTTCAAAATTTGCTTAAAATTTCATCAGCATCCTTATCAAAATTTTCCAGTTTCCCGGATGGTGATCTATAAAAGTACACGCACGCGCGCGCGCGCGCACGTACACTGATAGTAAACAGTGACAGGGTAGTACGTTTCCACGCGTACGACGTCACGATAAACGATCGTGTTCCATCATACAACGACACAATCGACGGATCGAAGGCAGGTCCTGGCGGATCGATCGGTCGTGATGCACGATGCAGGTATATTTAAACAACGTGTTCCGGTGTCGGCGACGTGCGATGTGCTTCGATAAACGGGCGTCGACGGCGATCGAAAGGCCACATCCGCGCGCAAAGTGCAAAGTATTCCGGAGAGTGACTTCACCAGGTCCCAGGTGTGCATCGTATTTAGATGATTATCGATCGGTGGCCGTACGTCATAGGTCGGCCTAGAATCGAACCCCCTCCCCCCCCTCCTCTAGTGACACAGTTAAATCGTGGCTC